TGGCCTTGACTGGTGTAGCTCAGTGGATTGTGCACGGGCATTCAAACAAAAGAGTTGCTGGTTTGAGGCCCAGTCAGGGCACAATCTGGGGTCGCGGGCCAGGTCCCTAGTAGGGGTCAAATGAGAGGCAGCTGTGTACAGTGTGGTGATGTGACATGTACATTCGTAAAGCCACATGCGGCAGGGGAATGGACACAGCCATTACCCCAAAGTGTCCCCTCCCTAGCCCCCACCTGCTGGCCACCAATGAGCTGTTTCCCTAGAGAGTCTTTACCAAAGTTGACAAAACAGTCCAAAGCCTCCCGTGCCCCCGGCCCCGCCTCCTTTAACCCCTGGCCCCACCTCCCTTCCCTCCCGATTTCAGAACTCCGTCAGCGGGAACAATACACAAAAGCTTACCCCTCTCAGGGCCGCCCCGCTGCCCCTGCCTCTGCCAGGGGTGAACTCTGCGGCTGGGGAGGCTGTAGTGCTCATGTTGGGGGAGCCGAGCCGAAGCCCAGACGCAGGGCCGACCTGTCCCTTCGGAAAAGGTGCAGCTTTTAAGTGACCTGGTCCGCGAGCGCGCCGGCTGCGAAAACGGGCGGGTGACTAAGTTCCCACACTCCGAGTCGGGCACGCACAGGAGGGGCGACGTGGTCGTGCTGTTCCACAAAAGCTGAGGTTAGGAAAGGAAGTTTCCCAGCCACAGGTCATTGGCACCGTGACCCTGCGATTCGCGAGACCGCCGTTGTCGCCGCTGCCTCTGCTGCTGTTGGGGGCGCAGGTGGGCGTGCGGGGCGGGCCGCTCCGGAGAGGGAAGGCGGCGCCGGGAGGGGACTTGCCGCGCCCGCACAGACTCCGGGACAAAGTGTAAGCTCTGGGGCCCCGGGAAACCCGCAGAGGCAGAGCGTCCCGGCCGCCCAGCGCCGGGCTCCCAGTGCGGAGCCTTCTGAAATGTGATGTAAATGGAAACATGAGTCTTTAAAAGGAAGTACGTATTTTATTTATTTTCAGAAAGAGGGTAAGAGAGGGAGGAAGAGACGGAAACAACCAAGAGAGAAACCTCCCCTGCGTGGCTCTCGCCCGGCCCCAACTGGCGACGGGCCGCAGCGCAGGCCGGGATCCCAGAGGCGGCGACCTCTCGGTTCTCCCGTCGGGCGCTCGGTGGGCTGAGCCGCACCCGGGGGGGCTGAGACAAGGTTCTTAAGTACCTGTGTTAGGTAGATAAGTCTAGAACTTTTCACAATTTTACTAAATCCGAATATTTGCTCAAAAGTGGTGACTCAGTGTGCCTCTGAATATCTGGTCCGGACAGAAATCAATCTTCAGGTTAAAAAAATGTTCAACACTGTTGTAGTCAGTTTTCTTTGCTTTAACTTATTTTAATTTAATATTTATTCAATCTGGACATTTGGCCTCACACGACTTATAATGAAATGACTTGAAACGAAAATTCTCTCCCCCCCCTCCAGACTTTTACACATTTAATGGCTTAACACTCGGGACGCAGCCTTCAGCGGGACCTCGGCTGTGGGTGACACACGTCCTCTGCGGAAGGTCGTGTGTCCAGTCCCAGGAAGGCCCACCTGGACCCGGGTACCTGGGTGGGAGGGCTGCTGGGGCCCTGTGCACACCCCGTGGCGCATTCTGTGTCAGTCAAACCCCGAGAGCGCTGCGCTGGCTGGGCGGCCCGGGGGCGGGAGCGTGTCTTTGTCCCGAACACCGAAAGGTTGCAGGTTCGATCCCCACTCAGGGCATGCACAGGAGGCAGCCAGTCAATGTTTCTCTCCCACGTCGATGTTGAAACGAAAATTCTTTAAAGCGCTGGAGAGAGAATTGATCTTCAAACGTCGTCTGGAATCCAGGCGACACAAGAGGTCTGGTAGCAGTAAGGTATCAGAGGGCGCTGGTCTTCTGACATGTCAGCGCCGTTTTAGGACAGCAAATGTCACACACAGAGGACCTGTGTCTGTAAACTGGGACCTGCACCCCATAATCTGAAAACCCCGTTCCGAGGGGTGCACTGTCTGCCGGGGGCAGTGCCGTTCCCCCTCCTTCCCATCAGCCCTGGGACCAGCAGCGCGCCCCTCCCCCTCAGCCCCCAGCAACCCTGAGTTACTTTCTGGGACTGACCCCCTGTTCAGGACAGGTCACAGACGCAGAACCCAGTGACATGTGGCCTTGTGTGCCCGGCTTCTCTAGTTCAGGCTGGTGTCCCCAGCCCCTGGGTGACGGTGGGACCTGCCAGGGCGTCACCTCTCTGTGTGACGGAGGGTCACTGAGACGTAGGTGCAGACAGACACCTGTGGTGGTGTTCACTCTCCTGCTCAGGGACTCGGGGACACTTTTAAACAAACAGACCCTGAGCCCTGACCGCTCTATGACAAGGACAGCTTTTCAGTCAGTGGTGTTGGGGATCCTGGACGTCCCCAGACCCAGGAGGAGTTCGACCCTCACGTCACAGCAGACGCAGAAACTAACTCACAACGACCCAAAGACCCGCCTGCACGGTCTGAAGAACTCGACAGAACCCCTGGAGGGTCAGAGGGGACGTCTCGAGACATTGGATGGTGTTTGGGGTCCACGTGACAAAGCATCACCTGTGGGGTGTCTCTGAGTGCCTCAGAGAGCCCCCGTCCCCCCGTGTGTCCACGGTCCTAAGATGGAAGGGGTCCTCCCTCCTGTGATGACCATTTCCTGTGCGTGTGTCTGTGCGCACACGCGGCCGCCCTGTACATTCCTCTGTGCATCTCACTGAGGTGGGTCCCTGTCTCCCCCTCGTGAGCGGTGCTGCCGTGGACGCGGGGTGCAGGTGCCCCGACCGAGGGTTTTCTCGTCCTTCACAAGCGCTCGTGGGGTCGGTCTGGACTGGGTCCCGCCTCTGCTGGAAACTCTGTCAGCCCGTGACTTCACTGTCACGTTTCCTGTTTCTCCCGACGTCAGAGCGCAGACAGCGGTGGTTTTCTCGGGAGCTGTTTAATCTTCTTCAGTTTGTCTGGGCATCACCGTCATCATCATCGTTGCCTACGTCAAGACGCCAAAAGTCTCGGAGGATTCCAGCCCGTGTGCAGCGGGCTCCCCAGCGGGGCGCGCTCTGAGTTGGAGCCCCCGGAGGAGAGTGAGTGACAGCCTGGGCTGGGGGCGGGGGTCCGGGCGCAGCGGGAGGACAGGGCGGGGCCTCTGCCGGGTCTTCCGGGTGCTCCCCGCTGCGGCCCCTCCCCCACCCGGAGCCGCCCCGAAGGGGAACAGCCCGGCAGCCATCCCGGTGCTTCTCTGCTGAGCCCCAGGCCCCCGGGGCTCAGGGACGATCGGCCCCTCGGCCATCTGAAGGGTGAGGTTTCTTTCAGGATTCCATTTTCTTGGTTTGGCTCGAGGGGACTCACTGAGAGCCAGCATGCTCCCCGGAAGCAGTTGGAGCAGAGGCAACGCCTTAATTGCGTCATCGCGTAGGGGCGGAGTTGTAGGAAGGCTCTGGGGCCAGCCTGTCGGCTCTTCGGGTCGCCATTGTGCAGGCTTGGAGGGTGCACGTGTGCTGCGGCCCAAGTGAAACTACTGCATCTGGCTCCGCCGCTGCTCTGGAGCGGGGCCCACTCCGGTCTTTGCGCTCCGTTCTCCCGACTTTGCCGCTGCTCCTCGGCCTGGCGCGGGTGGGTGCAGGACGCTTGGGCAGGGCAGACACCGACAGCAGGGCGGGTGTTGCCCAGGGATGTACAACAAGGCGGGCAACCTGAGAGGTAGGAGCCAGGCCGGGGCCGGGGTGGGGGAGGCCGAGTCCTGCGGCCTTCTCTTCTGCCCCCCGCATTGGGTCCCAGGGACTGGTGTTGGGACTTCTCCCAGCTCAGGGGCAGCCCCGATTCCCACTCCTGCGGGACCCCAGATTCTCCACGGGAGAGGCCGGGGGGGCGGGGCGGGGGGTGTGACACAAGGCTGAGTTCCGTCGTGCCTGGTTCCTAACGCGCCCGGACAGGGACCGGCTCGCCGGGTGCGCGCCCGGTGCAGGTCTGGCTGGCGAGGGGGACCTGAGGTGGGTCCACGGTTTTCTGGGGGGACTCGAGACTGTCCACGTTCTTCCCCGGGCCTCCGTGGAGCCTGGCGGGCGCAGCCCTGACTGTACAGAAAGGGTGAGGAAACAACACTATTCCACTTTCGGACCAGACGCGGGTGGGGGTGGGTAGTAGCGTGGCTGCAACCCCAGGGCGTACAGACAGGGTTTTGGGTGGGAGCACCAGTGGCCCCCAGACCAGGGCGTGTCCCTGGGACAGGAGGTGGAGGGACCAGAAACTGGGGCTTGACTTGCGGTTGCTGGTGTTGCCAAAACCAAAGGCACTCCTTCTGGGGATGGGAGGAGATTTCCTCTTAAGAAGCCGGGTCTCCCCCCCCCCCCACTAAAAATGAACTGTGGATCAGGGCAGACTCCGTTTCCGACGACCTGGGCTGCCCTGTGACCTGACTCGGAAGCTGCGGAGTGGCCCGGGGGGACAGGTGGGCACAAGCTCCTGGGTGCACACTCAGCACCCCTCTTTTGGAAGCTGCAGGATGTTGGGAAGAGCGGAGGGTGAGTCGAGTCTCCAGTCCCTGGGACACAATGGATCCAGGCATCAGTCCAGAAATGGACTCCCCTAGGAGGGGAGGGTTGGTGCTGTGCTGAGCACCAGCCACTGTCGCACCTCCTCAGGCAGAGGTCGCAGGGACCAGGTATAATCTGTGCCCTGGGCCACATCATGACCTCTGTGTGCCCTCCACAGGCTCCTACATCAGAAGAGACTGAGACCTGTACCAGGTCACCCAGTGCACCCCATGTGACCCTTGCTACTTCACCGCCCACCGCAACTGGGAGACCGCTTGCCTGCCATGTGCCGAGTGCCGGGAGGGTGAGTGGGCTCAGTGAGGTGTGGGGGTCCTTTGGTTCCCACAGCCCACCCTGCAGTGACCTTGCTCCTAGGAATCACCCCAAGGGCAGGTGTCACAGGTGAACAGGTGCTGACAGGTCGGTCAGAATGAGTGTCTATAAGGATGACACACGTCTGTGGTGAAAGGGTCCCCCTGAGACCCCTGGGATTCAGAGCTGCTGTCTGAGAGAGGAACGTACAGGGTTTACCCCGCACCTCTATGTGCCCCGCAGTCTGGGAGGAGGCTCCGCCTCTTCACCTTCCCACCCATAACTCCGGCCAGTGTGGCAGCGACCCTCCCCGACAGTCCCCCTCACTGGGTTGGGGGCGGGGCTTAAATCTCAGCAGAGGGCCCAGGCCAGTTAGAGAAGCCGCAGCCTCCCCCCCGCACACACACATCTGCCTCAGTGACGAACAAGCAGCAGGTGCAGCATCTCCGGAGGGCCCAGGGCATGAGGGACCAGACGGGGCTTTTCCAGAACCTGAGGCTCAGAGAGGTTGAGTGACCCGCCTACCAGCACACAGCTGGGGGCTCCTCCCACCAGTGGCACCAAACTCCAGATGGGTTTCGTAACCCCTGGGAGAAGGAAGGAAAAAAGAGCAGGAGAAACTGGCACAGGAGGTTCTGGGCATTCTGCACTGAGGGGCCGTGTGCAAGCAACACAGACTGTGCCCGACAGACTGGTTCAAGGTCTGCAAGCGTCTGGGAGCTGAATGCCTGCGGGTGGGAGTCAGTCCCTGTGAAGTCCGTGTCTGGAGTTCTCGGGCACACGGGCTGTGTCCCTGCCGTCACATCTAGGTGGGCAGGTCGTCCTGTACCCGCTGAGAGAGGGTGTTAGAGACAGTGGGGCGGGTTACCAGGTGCGTGCCTTAAAGATGTGCATGTAAAGATGTCCGTGACACAATTATTTGTAAAACGTCAAATCTGAACCAACGCGCACACACGTCCGTTGGAGCTAGGGACCTGCCACACGGTCTGACCACAGAGGGGCCCCAGTCCGCGTGTCTGTTCTTTGGAGAAATGTCTGTTCAGGTGGTCAGCCCATTTGCAAAATCTGATTGTTTGGGGGGGATATTTTTTGGTTTTAAATGATCTGTGTTCTTTGTCCGTTTTGGATACTAACCCCTGGCTGATCGTATCGTCGGCCAAGACCTTCTTCCATCTCTGAGTTGTCTTCTCACTGCCTTGCTGCTTCCTCTGCTGTGCGGACACTTCAGTTCCACGTGGCCCCATCTGTCCGGTTTCCATTTGCTGCCCCCCCACCCCAGGCGGTCACCCCAGAGAGACAGTGTGAGGGGTGGTGCCGGGGTTCGGGGCCTGTGTTTCCTCCAGGGCTCTGGTTTGGGGTCCCATTCACGTCGTTCACGGGTTTGTGGTCCTTCCTGTACGTGGAGTCAGGAGGGGACCCAGGCCCGTTCTCCTGCACATGTCTGTCCAGTTGTCCCAACGTCTGTTGAAGAGACTGTCTTTCCCCCATTGCACGTTCCTGCCTCCTCTGTCGTGGGCGAATTGTCCAGGTAGGTGACACTTTGTCAGGCTGTCTGCTCCGTCCCATTGACCTGCGCGTCTATTTTGTGCCAGCACTGTGACATCGGGGTGTGATGCCTTCAATTTTGTTCTGTGTTTAGATGTTTTTCTGGTACTGTGCTGTCCTTCATGGTTCCCTATAAATTTTAGGATTCCTTGTTGTCCTTCTGAGGAGAAGGCCATCGGCATTTCAACAAGGACAACCTGAGTCTGGACTTGGCTTCGGGCAGCGAGGACGGGGTGACAGTGATGCTCCTCCCGACCCTGAGGTCAGTGTGTCCCCCATCGCGTGTCCCCTCTTCGTCTCCTTTCTCGGTTCCTCCAGCCGTCGGGGTGCAGGCTGTCCGCTCTCTGGTTGACCTTGTTCCCGGGTGGTTTCTGCTTTCGGACGCAACCGCAGGAGGGGCTGACGACACCTCCCTCTGGTTACCCGTCACTGCTGCACGGAAGTGCACCCGTGTCCACGTTGTGTCCTGCGACCTCACTGCCTTCATTTCCACGTTCTCACAGGATTTTATGGGTCCTCAAACGGTCCTACGTACCTCGTCCTGCCGACTGCGAGCGGTGTGAAGGCTCCTCCTCCCTCGGATTTGCTTGCTGTTTGTCTCTGTCTCGCGTGACCTCTGTTGCTCGGACTCCCAGTGCTCTGGTGTGGAGAGCTGGTGAGAGTGGGCGTCTGTCTTCCTCCTGATCGGAGAGGGGGAGCTTTCGGCTTCTCACCGTTGCGTGTTGTGTCCCTGTGTGTCTAGGAATTACGTTTTTTAAAAGATTTATTTTATTTATTTTTAGAGAGGGGAAAGGGAGGAAGAAAAAAAGGGACAGAGATACCAACGTATGGTTGCTTCTTATGCACCCCCTACTGGGGACCTGGCCCACAACCCAGGCACGTGCCCTGACCAGGAATTGAACCAGCAACACTTTGGTCTCAGCCCCCCACTCACTCTACTAAGCCACGCCAGCCAGGGCAGGTGTTATGTTCTTAATAATGCATTTTATTAATGATTATAACATAATCGGATGCAGTCTATACATTGTGCTCTTGAAGATTTTACTCTGATGAGCAGCATTAAATATGGACCTTTGTGTTGATGGCAGTTTCTCTTTAAGAGCAGTTCCTGCCAGTATAATCTGTGGGGCGAAGGATAAAACTTTCTCAGGGCATTGGGACCCAAAAACCAAAAAAAAAAAAACCCCCAAAAAGTCCAGGAACTACCTTCTGGAGGACAGACCCTTTGTAGTCCAGGCTCCCTCACCAGGCAAGAGTTCTAGGTGTCCATCTGCATCCATGCCCAGCTGGTGGTGTTGTGAGAGGCTGCGTTCGGCTTCAGTGAATTTTTTTCATGACTCTCCAGAGCACTGGCCCATTTCCCGACAGGTGATTGACCAGCCCACCTGCCCACACCTGCAGAATATTGAGCAGTTTTTCACCAAAAATCCATGCGCCCCACTCTCCCTACTCACCCGTTCTCACCCAGAGCCACTATTTTTCTTTCCCGCATGAAAAGAGTCCACAAAGGGAAACGTCCCGACACGTAAGACGTGAAACAAAACGGCAGAAGCTCTGAGAGGCGTCAGAGCCGCCGAGGCCAGAGAGTGTTCAGAGCGGTGGACAGGCGTCCTCAGGGGTGTTCCCCCATCCAGGGGGGAGCATGTGAGGGGGACCGAAGGGTAAAAGTGTGAGAATAAAAATTCAACTTTTATAAATAAATTCTCTTGTTGGGTCGCCCCTTGAGTACATGTGGCCAAATGCATCCATAGGTGTTCACATTCACGTGCAACACAGGATGTAATTCCCATTTAAGTTATTTAAATGTCATTGCTTCATGCTGTATATTTTAACATGGTCTGTGATAGGAATGAAGAACAATAAATATCCTCCAAAATATGTGAAAATGTGTTCCGCACTCTGGAAACTTTTAGGCTTAGACCATTCAGGTACTTTAAAGCACAGGGTGCAAAGGCCCTGGGCTCCTGCCCTGGGTGACAGGGGACCCCGTGGGAGGGGCTCAGCAGGAGGGAGGTGCGGGGGCGGGACGCACAGGCTGGTGTGTGGAGCGCGGCCTGCAGGGGGCAGCAGCGGGATGGAGACTCAGAGCAGAGGGGCCTGCCTTCCTCAGAGGGTGGTCTGGGGGTGCGGACCTGGCTGGGGCAGGGAAGTGTGGGCAGGGAGGGTGCTTCTGAGCAGGTTCCCACAGGAGAGCCGGGTGCTCCCTGCTGGCGAGGGATAAGGTACCTGCATTACCGCCCCACGTTTCATGGCTGATTTCCATGGTGGGATCCAAGGGGAAGAGACCCCCAGGGGACATTTGCAGAGGAGCCTCTCGGGTCCCCAGTGATGGCGGTGGTGCCCCGGTCAGCCCTGGATAGGCAGCCTCTCCACGTGGAACCCTCCTCCTCCTTCCAGGTGGTCCCTGCTGCCCAGCCCCTGCTGGCCTCTCTCTATGCACAGCAGGTCAGGATGGGGAGGTGCTGGTGCCTTGTCTGCCTGCCCTCCCTGTGTGCCTCGCCGTGGTCCTGCTGCTCAGCCCCTGCTCAGGTAGGACCAGCTGTGCGTCTGTGTGTCTGCATCCTTTCCCTTCGGGCCCAGTCACAACCCTGGACTCCACCCACCCCTGCAAGGCCTGTCCACACCGCACCTGTGTGAGGACTGAGTTCCTGTCTAGGTGTCTGTCACCTCACCCTCTCGGCTGTGACACCCCCTGGGTGTCTGGCCCTGCTCCCTCTGACAGACCCCCCTTCTGATGACCAGCTGAGTTTGCTGTGGTCGGACCCCCTGAGCCCATCCTGGCCATGGTGGGTGAAGACGCAGACCTGCCCTGTCACCTGTCCCCGGAGATGAGCGCTGAGACCATGGAGCTGATGTGGTGGCGGCCCAGTGACAGGCAGGTAGTGCACGTGTACGCACACGGGCAGGAGGAGACGCCGGCAGAAGAGTTTCGAGGGAGAACTTGGATTTCACGAGAGGACGTCACTGCGGGGAAGGCCGCTCTCCAGATTCGCAGTGTCAGCGTCTCTGACAACGGAACCTACCTGTGTCATTTCCAAGATGGAGACTTCTGTGCAGAAGCCCAGGTGGAGCTGCAGGTGGCAGGTGAGCCTCAGGCTTGTTCCAGCCTCCTTTCCCTGGGCGGGGGCAGAGGCTGCAGACCTACCCCAGAGCACGTGGGCTGCTCACCAGCATCGGCCCCCACCTCCATCTCTGCTCCTCTGAGGCCTGTGACACACCCAGGTGTCCCCCAGGGTGACTTCCTCCTGCACCCAGGACAGAGTCCCCCACGCCGCCCACCAGTCTCAGAGGGGAGTGGAGGTCGGGAACGGGAAGGTGGAGGACACCTCCCCTCAGTGGGTGGCACGTGGGTGTTTGGGTTCAGTGTGATCCAGACCAAGGCCGTGGTCCCCCAGGGGCCTGCTGTGGTGGGTCCAGGAGGCTGAGCTGCAGGGACAACACCTGTGGGGCCCAGGGCCTCTTCCATACCCCTGGGAACACAGCTGCAGTTGAACAGGTTGTGTCCGTCCTCGGTGCTGCGAGGGAAGGTTCTCCTCTGGGGACGGGGACACCGGGGAGTCTCAGAGAGGGGGCGTCAGGGACAACGTGGTGGGGTTCAGGGGGTGTGGAAATGGCGCTGGGCTCTGGGTGGGACGTGGTCAGGATGGTGCAGGGTGTCACTGGTCACTCACAGCCGGCACAGGGAGGTGGGTCACTGCACACGGTTCCTGTTTCCTCTGTGCTGTCACCCCCACCCTTGAGTGGCCTTGACGTGGCCCTGACCCACCCCCAGTGAGGGAGCACCTTGTCTGAGGTGCTGCCCCACGAAACGTGCTCATGTTTGCACGTCAGAGCTGCAGTTCAAGTTCCCCGGACATAGCCCTGCCCTGTGGCTTCCAGTGCGTGGGGGCTGGTGGAGCGGGGATGGTGCAGCCCCCTGGTCTTCTCCCTATTAGGGTTCCTCCTCAGCCTGCTGTCCCTTCCTGGAGACCTCGGCTCCCCTGCCAGAGCCGTCCTACAGGCCTCTGTGTGTTCAGGTCCTCAGAGGGCTTCCTCCCCGTCCTTGTGTTCAGGGGGTGGGGACAGGTGGCACTAACTCCCCGCTTCCTGGCCCTGTGTCCGCTGTCTCCGTGGGAAAGGTTCCCCTCTGCACAGCCTCGCTGTGGGCACTTCCGGGGGAGACCCTGGAGGGAGAGCCCAGCAGCCCGACAATGAGGGCAGCAACAGCCTCCCAACAGGCCGTGCATACGAGTCACCGCTCGGGCGGCCGCAGGACACGGTGTATCTCCTCCTACTTGCACGGGAGGGCACGGCCCCCACAGGACAGGCAGCATGGACAGGGACAATGGGGTGCGACCCACTTAGGCTGAGGGGCACCACCTGCATGCTTGCCCAGGGAGGGGTGAGGGGCTCTGCTAGGGACCAGCCTGTCTGGGGCCAGGGGGGACGGGGAGGCTGCGGCAGTCTCTAAGGGGGACTTAGGGGAAGCAGCCTCTGCTCTGGCCCAGAGCCCCCTGGATCCAACACGAGGGTCCAGCCAGGGTCAGGCAGTGGCCCAATCGGGCATCAGTCTCTGCTGCACACCACACGCTGGGAGCAGCTCCTGGTGAGTCCCTGCTGGTCCGTCAGTGTGTGCGCCCCTCTCTGGTGAGGAGACCCCACAAGTACAGGGAGCTCCCCACAATTCAGCTCACTTTTCCCCCCCAGCACTGGGCTCTGATCCCCTCATTGACGTGAAGGGCTACGAGGCTGGAGGCATCCGTGTGAACTGCACGTCTGCCGGCTGGTACCCGCAGCCCCAGATCCAGTGGAGAGACGCCAGGGGACAGAGCTTGCCCTCGGAGGCAGCGTCTGAGGCTGCAGAACCCCAGGGCCTTTATGCAGCCTCAGCCTGTGTGATCCTGGAAGGCGGCTCTGGGGAGGGGGTCTCCTGTGTCATCAGAAGCCTCCTGCTGGGCCAGGAGAGGTCAGCCAGGCTGTCCATCGCAGGTGAGTGCCCTGCCCCCTGCCCTGGGCTCTTCGGTGCCCCTCGGGGAAGTCACAGGGTTAGCTGCTGACCTGGGTGCCTGGGAGATTCATGAGGGCACCAAGCAGGGACCTGGGGCTCCTTCCCCTGAAGCGGTTCATGTCAGAGACACCTTCTGAGCACTTCCTGCCACACACAGAGCCAGGCAGTGGGACGTGGGGACAGATGGGAAAGTTCAGCAAACACACCAGGAGGAGAAAATACGGACCACCCAAATCTCAGTGAAAGGGCTAATCTCCTTACAACATAAAGGAACATGGTGGAGAAAAGAGCAAACACGGGAATCATCAGTTCCCAGGAAGGTAAAACTCCCAGGAAGATGCCAAATCTGACAGAACAGGGAACTATTTCGCCCTGTGAATTTGGCAGCAGCAGGACACACGAGGGGGTGGGCGCCCTCTGGTGGCGGGCTGTGTGGGAGACAGCCCTGTAGCCGTCTGTGCTCCCGGTGTTGGACGGTGTTGGTGGGGGTCGGCCCCCGTGCTGTGGGGGCGCAGGGCCGTCTGCACCCGAACTGCTCACTGACTGATGCAAAACCCACTTCTGGGACCACCCCACGGGTCAGCCTGCAGCCTAGGGACGTGACCCATGTGACCAGGTATTTTCAAACCAGTGATCCCGGGGACAAAGGGCAGAGCCTGGGGTGCCCACCGGAGGGGACCTGGTGCGCAGTGAGTGCTGCCCTGCAGGAGAGACACGGGCCTGCGGGCTGTGCTGGAGCGGGCAGGTCGCGGAGACACAGGACAGGATGGACACCATACACACCAGCCGCATAGGGGCCTGATTTCGCCATCACCAAGGTGAAATAATATATTCCATTTTTAAAACTTAATGAAACCTGTGTGGCACTCACCCTACGTCAGGCACTGCCTAAGCACTAACTACATGTTCTCACTGATCAGGACGCAGCAACAGACGGTTATGTCATTAGTTCAAGGTCACAGCGCTGGTCGGGCAGGAGACCCGGGACTGGAACCCAGGCCCCCAGCCCCAGAGTCTGTTCTTCATCACCAGGCTCTGCTGACTGGGGAGCAGGTAGTCAGTGGGGGGGGGTGCAGAGGGGACGTCAGTGACATTGTGTGTACGTCCTCGTGCTCCATCTCATCCCATGGGGGCGCAGACGTTTCAGGAAAACCGTCCTGACTGTGCGACAGTGAGAGTCTGGGCGCTGTGGGGACAGAGAGATCCCTTCAGGGGCTGACGCTACCCCTTTTCAGGTGCCTTCTTCAGGGACACACAGCCTTGGACGGTGGTGCTCGTGATCGTGCTGGGTATTGTGCTGGTCGTGGTGGTGGTGGTGGTGGTGGTGGTGGTGTACTTGCTGCGGGGACACTGGAAGAGGAAGAAGGCGCCAACTCAGGATGAGGAGAGCGAGCCCAAGGTGAGAAGGAAGCATTGGGCGCAGAGCTGCGGGGGGTGGGGGGGGTGCCCAAGGTTAGGCCCAGCTGCCGGTGGTCGGCACCTCCCTGCCCCGCCCACGCCCACCACCCAGATCCTCCTCTGCATCTCCTAGACCAGACTTTCTTTTTCTGTTTATTTCCAGAGATGCTGCAGGACCAGCTCGGTAAGCCCCCATCCCCGTCCCTGTGCGTCCCCAGCGTGGGCAGCTCAGCATTTCAGGCGGCGTCCGCTCCCCCCACGGCCCCACTAGAGCCCGGAGCGGCCGTGCTGTGGAAGACCCCACTCTGCTGGCCTAGACCTTGGGGTGCACAGGGGGGCGCAGAGGGCACGGGGCTTGTACGGCTTCCCAGGGCTGCGAAACGTCCTCCCCAACTCGGGGCTGAGAGACACAGAACTGACCGTGTCCCGGATGTGGATGCCACAAGTCTGATCCAGGTGTTAGGTCGGGGATAGAGGGGCCCGGCTTCCTCCAAGGCCCTGGGAGCAGGTCCTTCCCACCCCTGCACTCACCTCGTTTCGGGTGACCAGCTGTCCCGGGTGCTCCTTGCTGTGAGCGCCCATCAGTCAGCACTGTCCTCTTTCCTCACCCGGCCTCTTCCCCATGGGTCTGTCTCCTGATGACCCTCACTGGGCCCTGGAGGTAGGGCCCACTCTCGCCCAGTACGGCTCCCTCGTCTGCGAAGGCCGCATTTCCAGGTCACAGGGCTCTGGATGTAGCCCTGTCTTGCTGGGTTCACACATAGCCCCCCTGTCTCGGACTCCCTGCAGAGTTGGGGGGCCACCCTGCACGTGACCCCACAAAGTACTTTTCTCTGCTACCTCACAGGCCCAGCTGAGCTGTCAGATGAGGTGGCATTTCCCCCAGAAGCGGTTGGGGAGGGCTGCGCTGCAGGCCCCTGCCACCAAAAGTCACGGCTTTCTTCCGTCACAGGGAGGCACCCAGCCCAGGGTGAATCTGCTGCCCGAGGATGCAGAGCGGGGCCCACCAGCTGCCGGCGCAGACACCAGACCACTGCTGCAGCAGCAGGGCGCAGCCGTGCGGTCCCCTGAGGACTCTGAGGCCAGTGTCGAGCTGCGGGTGGTGGTGCCCGCAGGGGGCATGGCCACCCCACAGCAGGCGCTGCAGACCCAGGTGCCTCCAGGGGGTGGCAGCCCCCATCCACACCTCAGAGCAGGTGAGGGGCATCTGGGTAAGCGTGACAGCAAGGACCCCTGTGTCTGTGGCGCACGTGCCGTGTGCGTGCAGGGCGTGCACAGTGCTGCCCTGCGTGCCCTAACTTCCCGTCTGAGTTTCCCCGGTGACCGAGACGCAGCCCCACAGACCAGGCAGCTTAAAGGACAGAATGTTAGTGTCTCCCTGTGCTGGGGGCAGATGTTCAGGTTCCCGTGGCGTTGTCCCCATGTGTGAGTCTGTGTCCCTAAAAGAGGACACTGGTCTTGTTCTGTTGCGGCCTCATTTGGACAGGTCACGTCTACAGCGACCCAGTTTCCAGACAAGGCCGCACTCTTGGCTGCTGGGCTTAGGACACCCACATCTTTGGGGACACAGTGCAGCCTGTGACATCCCCACCACACCTGTTGTCTGAGGGAACAGTGGCTCCCCGGGGCCACTGAGACCCAGGGGCCGAGCTCTCCCAGGTCCCAGCGCTGGGAGGGCACTGCCTGGAGGAGGCCCGGCTCATGGGCACTGACCCCTCAGTCTCCAGCGCGCACCGGCCTCCGAGGTCTTGTGGCCCCAGCGCCTCCTGTGTGCCGCGTGTGTCATCGGGAGTGGGTAGGACCGGAGGCAGGGTGAGCACACGGCGCCACGTGTCCCTGTGGGACAGAAGCTGGCCCCACGACCAGCCGTGCCCGGGAGAGACTCACTGTCCTCCAGGCCATGGAGACTCACAGCCTCCATCGGGGGCTGTAACGAGGCCATGGCAGCTGAGTAGGACTTCACGGACTAGTAGACGTTCCCCTACGGGGCCCTGGGGAGGAGGACCCTTCAGGAAGGGGGACAGTGTGCACAGGGTGTCGGAAGGGTGCAGAGCCTGTCCAGCATCCACTGCAGGCTGGGGTCCCTCCAGGGCAGGGCAGCGGGAAGCCCAGTGTCGCCCCGGCCCAGGCCGTGTCCTGGGGAGTGTGACCCAGAGGGCGGCTGGGCTGTGAGCTCTCTGCCCCTTCTGAGAGGCCGGGTCCCGTCCCCAGACACTGACTGGACAGCATGTGGAGGCCCTGCTGCCCCCGCCCACCCAAACTCGGGTGGCTCTGTTTCCTCGGATTTTGCCAGGAAGCTGCCCCGGTGTCTCGTCCTGGAACAATTTTATTTGCTTTTCTCTGCAGGAATATGAACAGGTGTGTTTTGAAGGACGGGTCCCCTGAGGGTAAGTCCCCCAAAACCTTCCTTTGTAGTGACTGTTGAGGTGTGACCTCACGACCCAACGTCCTCCCTTCTGGGAAGCGAGACCCTGGGCCCCCAGGCAGCTCAGGGACGTCCCGTGGGCATCAGACTCTCGCTCCAACACTCACTGCAGACAGGAGGGCACACGGGCCTCCGTCCAGTGTCAGTTCTGGCCGTGAGGACACACGCAGGCGGCCCTGCATTACTGCACATCCACGGGTTTGAGCAGGAACGTGAGGGGCCGGTAGGAAGGCCTGGGTGACCCTGGCCTGGTGAGGCCCCGGGGGCTGCGGCGCTGCTGTCAGTGGGACGGGGGTGAGGGTTTCCTGCGGCACCAGCCACAGGCCGCGTGCTGCTAGTACTCTCGTCCCTCTGACAGCTCAGGGGAGACCCCCCCACGTGGCAGATGCAAAGGTCAGACAGTCGGGACCCAGTGAGGGTTACAGACCTCGTCCCCTGCTGCCCGCACAGCCGCTCTGGTCCCGCGGGGTCAGCAGGGGGGCCGCCTCAGTGGACACCTCACCCCCCGGGGCTTCCCCCACCTCGGGCCCCCGCAGGCCCCTCTGCCAGGGCTCCCTGGCTCCGTGTGAATGAGCGTCAGTCCTGTCAGGAGCCCGGCCGGGTCGTGTCCTACCGCGCTCTCCTGTCCCCCTGCCTGGTCCCTTCTGCGAGGGCAGCCTGGGCGCCCAGGGCCTCCTGCGGACCCTGGGCCTGGTTGCCAGCTGGGACCCTCACAGCGCACAGCACACGCCACGCCTGCCTCCCAGGGACGAGGCCAAATCTTCCTCCGTGATTTTGTGTTTTCAGCCACGAACAGGATCTACTCCGAATGCGGGCAGGAGGTTCCCCAAATCTACCTGGAGGATGTTCATGAGGCTCACAGGACTGGAGGACAACGACCTTGTCATCTGTGAGCATGGGGACCCGGGGACCCTGACAGAGCAGCCCCACAGGATGCTGCTGCGCTGGCAGAGCGAGCTGGGGCGCACCACGTCCCCCCGCGGGCTCATGGCGGCCCTCCGTGAGATGCGGCTGCAGGGGCGTCTGGAGAATATTATAAACAAGTTAGTTACAGAAAATATCTTAGGTAGTGAGGATGCAGAGCCCTGAACTAGAGTCAGCTCTTCCGGCAACGACTGGGATTTAGCAGCATCCTGGGTGCTGACCTTCCCCAGGTCCCTTCCCGTGGGCGCCTTCACAGATCCCAGATGGGACGGAGCCCCTTCCGTGTCCAAGGAGCTTCTTCTGGAAGCTTCCGATGGGGAGGACCATGCCAGCCGGGGGCTCTCTGCCTACAGCCCATGTGGCCTACAGGCTGCCCCTCAGGGAATCCTGAGCTGCTTGGAAAGGGACCCACTGGCTGTGCTCGGTGGGCCCACGAGCCGTGGCCTCCTCCAGAAACACAGGCCAGGAGGGCTGGCTGGTCCTGGGTGTGACCCCAGCAGCTCTCTTGTCCATCTCTCAGGCACTGTGATGTCCCCTGGCTTCCACTTGGGAGCGCCATACCAGGGTGACACTTAAGTCAGTCTGTGACAGACAAACCAGCAGGCACTCAGCTGTCACTAGGTTAGCTGGGGTGGGACATGGGGACCATCACATGCCACCTATAGAGGCCTTTGTACAGTTCTTTACACATTTAAGCATAGGTGCTTTTACAGTTTTATTTATGTGTTAAAATTTCTCTTACATAGTGTGTTCACATGTTTGTAGAAATTTTTTCACCCAGTAAAATTTATATTCTGAATGGTGTTGCCTCTCATTCCTGTTGGGTGGACAACTTCGGGTGTGCTGTCCTGGAAGGGGACGTGGTGCACAGAGAGTCAGGGGAGCCGAGGGTGTGGTTTGTGGGTGCAGGGCCCCGAATCGGGGACCACAGGCCAGAGTGGCCTCTTGTCCGGGTTGTGGTGTCCCCGGGGCCTCTGTCCCTGGGAGTGACAGCACCGTCCGTCCAGCGCTCCCCTGAGAACGCGCCCGCCCTGCCCCCTCCTCACTCACCCCGAGCAGCACCCGTCCTTGGAGGTGCTCACCCGGGCCCCGCACTCCCGTGGGGCGCCGAGCACCTTCAGCTCCCACGCAGTCCCTCGGCGAAGTCCACGCCACTCCAGCCAGCCTGTCCCGTCCAGACCCTTGGGCGTCATCCCCACAGGCATCTCCTCCCGAGTCCCCCCCCGACCCCCAGGGTGTGACAGTCCCCTGTCCCTCCCAGACCTGTGTGCCCAGCCCCCGAGGCCCCGCCTCCCTCCACGCTGCTGCCTGTCACTGACTCAGCTTCTGTCCACTCTGGCTCCCCTCCGGCCTCCCCGAGTCCAGTCTCCTCCACTGCAGCTGGATTGGGCGTCTGAGCACAGATCTGGCCTCCACCCTCCCCGCCACCCACCCTTACCCCACCCTGGGGAGGGTCTCTGCCATTCCTGATTCGTTTAGGGGAACTGGCAGCCCCAGCCCGCACCTCAAATCCCAAACTCTTGCTGGCGTTGCTGCGTGGGTCCCGTGGTCACGCTGAGTTTGTCAGCATCTTGCCTTCTCCTGGGGTCACTTGCAGGACAGTCCACTCGGCCTGGAACACACGCCCCCGTCCACCCCCAGTCCCTTCCTCTCAGCCTGCTTGGAACTGGTCTTCTGTCGAGGCCAGCCCATTGCAGCCCCAGGGGCGGATCTCTGACCGTCTGGCTGGGGGTTGTCCCCACACCACGGGGTCATGCTGACTTCAACACCCATGCACGAGATGACCTGTCCCTGAGGCCTGCGTCTCCTCAGAGGGACTTCGACCTCTGCCCCTCGCCCTGTGCGGGGCCTCATCGAGGGACTGTCCTCCCCAGCACCCTGCGTGATCCCAGGGACAAGGCTCCAGTGCGCCGGCCACGTCCACCTATACACCACAACTCCCAGCATGCCGCGGGACGGTGGTGTTGAAGCCTGAGGCAGTTGCCCAGCGACCGGACCTGTTCCCTAGGCGAACCAAGGGCTGGGCGGGGTGGGGCAGGACTTTCAGTCCCACCGAGCACGCCAGATTCTGGGAATGAGTCCCTGTGGTTTGGGGTCCAGGATTACTAGGACGGGTTGCTCCCAGGAGCAGGGTGAGTGCTGACAACAAGGCGTTCGAGGGGTGACCCCAGCCGGAGGGGCTGGCCCCTGGGTCAGACAGGGGTCACCCTGGTCCTGTTGGGCCTGAGTCCTCCGGGGTCTTGGTGGGCCGCCCTCTGGGCCCGGTGTGGCCAGAGACTCAGGGTAGACGCCTGCCTCTGAGGTGGAGGGGAGACCGCCTGTCCCCAGCAGACTGGGCCTGAGCTCGGGACACCCTTTTGGGATTGAGGCCCTGCCCCGCGAGACCATCGCCTGCCCAGCCTCAGTCGCCCCTTGGGCTGTGCCAGGGTCCTCTTGCGCCTCTACCCGTGATGGTCCCATGTGGCCCCATCCGGGCCTCGCCCTGCTGCCCCAGCTGGACCTCGGGGACAGGCCGAGCGTGAGGGGTACTTGGTCCTCCGCCTGGCCGGGTGTCATCCGGGGGTGGGGCGGAGGGAGCCCGAGCTTGGCAGTTAGGAAAATGGGGCTGCAGAAGCCTGTGGTGTTACAGGGTGCAGCCAAGAGAGGGGACCCCAAATAGGCATTTGAAATGGGGTCCAGAACTCAAGGTGTCCAGGAGATTTTAAGGTGTCTTCACCCCTTCCCCAACAGGTGTGAGTTGGGGGAAGAACATGCAGGGCAGCTTTGCAGCTAATCCATGGCAGGGTCATTTAGCATACCTATAGCCTTTGGCTGGTCACTTAGATATGCTAAATAGCTATGGCCATACTCAAGGCCAGGGGGATGGAAAGGGACCTCCCCCCCAAGATGGGACCTGGGGGTAAGGTCCCCTGAGCTCCCAGCGCCTGCGTGGGAGCTGGGAGAAGATTGGCTCCATGACATGGGGTGACACCTGCCCAGACCCACGATAGTGACCAGAAAAGCTGGAGAAGACAGCAGATTGAGGGCAAGTGTGCCCAAGTGTACGAGGAGTAGGAAATGGGCTGCAGAAGAAGATTGGCGCAGGGGATTTAAACCCAGACATGGCAGCCATTGGCAGAGAACCACGCGGCCTGGGTAGAGTGGGGACTCTCCCTTCCCGCAACCCTGAGAGAGAGAGAACCACGCGGCCTGGACAGAGTGGGGACTCCCATGGCCCTGGGAGAGAGGACCACGTGCCTTTGCCAGAGTGGGGACCCCCGCAGCTTTAGAAGGGGGAACCACCACCTGGTTTTAGCAGAGATCCCGGAGACTCAGCGGAGGGTGCCGGGAACCCAGGGAGGTCTCCCAGTCGAGATGGAGTACTAACTGGGAAGAACCAGAGGACTGCCTGAGCCATGGACTTCTATTTCCTTTCCTGAGATACGGTACTCTGGACTGGGCAAAGGGGGAAGGAAGGAAGGACTGTATGTTTGTGGGTGGTTTTAGGGACTTTAGGATTTTTGATAAAGACATTAGGTCACTACTTGAAGTTTGTATAGCATTAAATAAACATTTCCTTTCCTTTTCACGAATCTCTGGCATTGAGAGACGTCTTTCCTTGGGCGGCAGACATAACGGACCCGGGGCTTCTTTCAATAATAGTATATCGTCCCAGGCCCCCCTTGTTTGCTCTGTAACAGGGGGACAGGGCTCACATGAAAGGACCAGGATTTTATGACGGCGTTCTTCGCGGCGGGCAAACCGCGCATTTGGGCGTCAGGACCCCTTTATTGGCCGGGAGGGTTGGGTGAGCAGCCCTGGTGGCACTGCGGTAGACGGGGGTGTCTGTAGGCTGGTTCCCCGAGACCCACAGATTCCTGACAGTCTGGAGCAAACTTCCCTCAGGAACACGCTGCACGTGGGTGTGTCCCCTGGCTGGGGGAAGTGAGAGGCCAGCCCTTCTGAGACACCCCCAGCCGCCAGTGCCCCCAGTTCAGGCTGTGCAACACTCTCGGCCCCTGTGGTCCCCCTGCTCCCAAGGGCATGCTGGGTCTCCAGGTGGGGGCTTGGAGATGCGGGAGGCACCCAGGTGACAGGCTGCTGAGCCACACCAGCACCCACTGTCAGGGCACCCAGCACACCACGGACAGGGGTGCCTGGATGCCAGCGCCGTCCCCAACCACAGCCGGGGTTCACAGCTGGATTGGGGAGCAGGGAGGTTGGGCTGGGCCCCATCGGCAGGGGATGGAAAGGCCTCATTGATGGTGGGCCCGGGACAGGCTGTCCGGGTGGAAAAGGGCAGCTGGGTTCCTGTCATTTCTCCAGTGAAGCGTGTTCTTGGTTAATTTTCACCGTGAACCACGTTGTTGTGGTGTTTCATTCCTTTTTGTGGCTTCAGAATTTGAGCTTTTCGGAGCCTTGGTGAGAGGCGCCCTGTTGTGCACCATGAGGCCTGGGGCGCGACCCAGGAATTCTGGATGACTGAGAGGCTTTCCTGTCCGAACCCTTCACCTTGGGGCATCTCCCAGACACTGTCCTTTCCGTGGACACAGCCCGCAGGTCCCCGGGCAGAGGGCGGTGGCCCGATGTGCCTGCAGAACCAGCTGGGCAGTGACCCTTCCGACTTTACTGACACGGCCGCCACCTCCGGCTCCTCAGTGACGTCGGCCCCCTGTCCAGAGTGTGTAGAGTGCAGCATGAAGAGACTCAGGGCAACCTGGGAGGTAGTACGTGTAGTTAACAACGTGGTATTGTGCACGTGAAATGTCGCTAGGCCCTGGCTGGTGTGGCTCAGTGGACTGAGTGCCGGCCTGGGAACCCAAGGGTCGCTGGTGCGATTCCCAGTCAGGGCACATGCCTGGGTTGCAGGCCAGGTCCCCAGTAGGGGGTGCCCCAGAGGCAGCCACACATTGATGTTTCTCTCTATTTCTCCCTCTCTGCCCCTCTCTCTAAAAATAAAAATCTTTTAAAAAATGTTGTTAAGGTGGATTTCATGTAAAGCTTTTTTACACTAAGAAAAGGGGGAAGCAGAGGGTAACATTCAGAGGTCCCAGGTATGTTTATGACGCCTGTGGTGGCAATACCATGGGAGAACACACGTGTGCAAACCTGTCACATCGTATACGTGAAACACATGCAGCGCCAGGCCCCCACAGGTAGACTGCCCGGCAGACACGCTTTGGGACCAGAGCGACTCTAAACACCAGCAGTCTGGTTACTGCCCAGGATGTCTGGGAACGTCCCCCCACCTCCCCACCCCCCGCCCCAGCCCTGCCCGGGAAAGAGTTTGTCAGTCAGATTGGTTTGTGCGGACAGACCTGGAAGGAGTTGCCAATGGCGGGATGCAGCCACTCTCCTCGAGCTCCAGGGAGGCTCAGGGGCAGTTATCACTGAGGTTGAGGGGATGTTTTTAGCAAGGCTGAGGGCCCGTTTTTAGAGAGGCCATCGGGCACTATTTAGGGAGGCTGAGGGTAGTTATCACGCAGGCTCAGAGAAGGACATCAGCTAGGCTAAGGAGAGGTTTTCAGCCACAATATTGGTCACTTTTCACCCAGGCTGAGGGCCAATTATTAGAGGAGTCATGGGAACTATTTAGGGAGGCCTAGGTCCAGTGCTCAGGGAGGCTGAGGGGGAGTTTTCAGTGAGGCGGACGAGCATTTTTCAGGTAGGTTCAGGTAGTTTTCAGAGAGGGTGAAGGGCTATTTAAGAGAGGTTGGGAGCAGATTTTAGGGAGGTGGATGGGCAGTTTTCAGGGAGGCTGAGGTGTAGTTTTCAAGGAGACGCAGGGGCCGTTTTCAAAGAGCCTGAGTTGTAGTTTTC